ATGAAGAGCTTAAGGTACAGAGAAGCTAGGATACTGGATGTATAGACAGTACCTCCAGATGATGGTGGGTTGGGAGGTGGAGCCTGTGAGCCAGGTGCCAACATCTTTTATAAACCAGGGTTGGGCACTGGGCAGCTAACTACTTGGTTGGAAATTGGTTTTAAGAATGTTAGCTTTAGGGGTGCCTAGGTGGCTCAGTCAGTTAAGCATCTGACTTCAGTTCAGGTCATGATCTCATGGCCTGTGGGTTTGAGCCCCACATGGGGCTCTGTGCTGACAGCTCAGAGCCTGGAGCCTGCTTCAGATTCTGTGTCTCCCCCTCTCTCTGCCCCTCTCCAACTTGAGCCTCTTTCTCTCTCTGTCAAAAATAAATAAAACATTTAAAAATTTTTGAAAAAAAAGAATGTTAACTTTAAGGGGGTACCTGGGTGGCTCAGTCAGTTAAGCGTCTGACCTCACCATTTGTGAGTTTGAGTCCCACATCAGGCTCTATGCTGTCAGCAGAGCTTCAGATCCTTTGTCCTTCTCTCTCTGCCCCTCCTCTCTCTGCCCTCTCTCTCCCTCTCAAAAAAACCAAACCAAAACAAACAAACAAAAAAAAACCTTAAAAAAAATAATGTTAACTTTAGGTACTTGATTCCCTGCTGCCTGTCACTGCCCAATAAATAGTTTTTTAAAATTTTAGGTGACTGACAAGGTGGTATGAAGTTGATGAGACCAAGAATATCTATTTAGAAAGCAAAAATGCCTTCCACTATCTCTTCACTCCCCTTCCTAATCTCTACCCTTTCCTTAAGATCTCCTTGCCTCCATATGGACAGAATAAGCTACTTTACATATCAGAGACAGAAAGGTTTCTCTGTTTCTTTTATAATCAGGCATGTGTTGAGGCATCAAATTTGTGTCAATTCCCTGAGCATGATAAAACTTCCTTGCCTGGAAGCTGCCAGATCTGCTCTCATTCACTGCTCTCATTCACTGAGACCACCACAGACACCATTTTTTTTTTTTTAATTTTTTTTTTTTCAACGTTTATTTATTTTTGGGACAGAGAGAGACAGAGCATGAACGGGGGAGGGGCAGAGAGAGAGGGAGACACAGAATCGGAAATAGGCTCCAGGCTCTGAGCCATCAGCCCAGAGCCCGACATGGGGCTCGAACTCACGGACTGCGAGATCGTGACCTGGCTGAAGTCGGACGCTTAACCGACTGCGCCACCCAGGCGCCCCAACACCATTTTAAAAGCAGGGAGGAACAAAATATTTACGGTCACTAATATTTCCTGTTGTCATCCCAATCACCTTGAATTGAAAGTGGCTTGCATTTTGATCACACTGATACCCTAGTATTCCAAGTTATAGAATTTGGGGTCTCCTTAGAATTAAAAGAATTATGCTCCCACATCAAAAAATTTTTAAATGACATTACAACAGAAGTATTTCCTATAGTCTAAAAATTCCTTATGCTGCTTCTCCATTGATCATTCCAGCAGTTACAATCCATTTTGGTCAAACTTAAAAATGTTTAACCCCTTTAATTTCTTTTTTTGCCTTCCAATTCTTTCCATGTTTTCTTTCTTTTTCTTTTTTCCTATCTGCCTCCCTTCCATAATTAGAATGTGAGTTGAGGTATCACATGCTTTGCTTTAGAGCTGAGTCTGCAACGATGTGATGGTTTCTATTTTCACCTTTTTCTTTCACCCACACAAGGACTGCCAAGGATGTGGCCTTTCTGCATGCCCTGGCTGCTTCTCCCTGCCTGATGCTTTTCCTGGCCGACTAGCTGCTGAAATGCTTCCTTTAGGGAAAGGCAAATAGAACCAGAAAACAGAGCACTTGGACACTGTTTTCCCCTCTGTCTATCCCTCCCCTCTCTCCCTCCAGCCCTTCATTCAAACATTAGTTGGGCAGTTACTTGCACCTGGCTGGAGAGAGGCACAAGTGAGGCACAGGCCTGCAGAAATGAAAAAGCAGTTCTTGTCCCCAAGGCACTGCCCTCTGTGACCTTAGGCAAATGAAGCTCTTCTTGACTCATATGGTGAAACATGAGGAAACTGAACAAGATGATTTCTTGAGAATCCTTTCTGTTTTCATAGCTCTGATGTTTGAGTTGTTTTAATGGATAATAGTTGTTTTAGTAGTGCTTACTACTCTGCTGTGGACAATTTCTCTTTATACCTTAAATGTGCTTGCTCTCGTACAATCAGTTGTTATATGTTCCAAGAATATGAAGGTATTTAAATAGTAAAGAACATATATGCTGGTGCCATCATGATATGGAATACTACATATTCATTAACAATGATGTTTACAAAAGCTTTTAATGATACAGAAAAATGTCATACTAAAATGTAAGGTGAAAAAACAGACAGAGGTAGAGAAGAAAGCCTGAAACACTAGGTATTAAGTCATTTGTTAACACCCAGATTGTAATACTAGTTATCCTTGAATAGTGGGATTATAAATGTTTAAAATTTCCTACTTTGATTCTTCTATTTTTAAAAAATAAAGAATGCAACTATTTTTTATAATAAAATGAACAAAGTTATTTTTAAATATATAGAAGTGATTGCTTTTGCAGCATAAAATTAAGTATGTATTCCAAAGCCAGATATGAATAATTTTAAAAATATGCTTTGCTTTGAATTTTCCACATTTGTCCATAACATTGGTTTTTCCAGATTCCAAGCTTATGTAATTGGTCAAATTCTGGTACCTTGCTGAGGTGTTATAGTCTTGAAATTCTCACTTTAAAAATCTGAGGACACTGAGAAGGGAAAAGGAAGGACCTATACAATTTCATCTCAAAAATGCAAGGTTTTATTTAGGGTCTTACATTTATTAAGAAAGGTGAAAATACAGGTCACCAAGAGGCTATTTTAGGAAAAGCCTCTGCAGAGAGCACAATTGCTGACCATGGGTGATTTCACCACTTGAAACAGGTGCTATGATGTGTTTGCTCAAGCATGATTTCAGATATCAGATCACAAACTCAGGAAGGCCACAAAGCCCAACTGGTACAAATAAAAGACATATAAGAGAAGGCATTCCCTCCATGGTAAGGAAGTGAAAAATCCATGAAAAAAAAAAAAATCTGGTGACTGCTTGCTATGACTATAACCCATCCATTTCCCACAATAGGAGCAGAAAGTAGTGCAGAAACGGTGAGTAGCTGAGGGGGCCTAGAACTCACTCTGGTTTCTGGCAGAGGTGTAAGAGAAGGCGTTTGACCTTCTCTGGCTAATCACCTATAAGTCAATATTTCCAACAGGTCATTTTGTAACTTGTCATTCAGAATTTTAGAGGCTGCAAAAACTATCACACTGTTGACCAGGCACTTGGGCCTCCAGAAGGCATGGAAAGTCACATGTAGAGTGTCAGTCACATGTAAAGAGGGGAAAATCTATTGTCATTCAGCTCGTTTAGCCCATGGATCTAACACTGAAAGATTTCTTATAGAGTGTGTTACTCAAAGAGTGGTCCTCCCACCAACAGCACTGGCATCCCCTGGGAGCACATTAGAAATGTTGAATCTGAAATAAGTCCGTCAGAGAAAGACAAATACCATACAGTCATACTTACATGTGGTATCTAAAAAACAAAACAAATAAGCAAACAAAAAACAACAACAAAAAGAAGCTCATAGATACTGAGAGGAAATTGGTGGTTGCTGGATGGGGTAGTGGGGAACAGGTGAAGGTTGTCAAAAGGTACAAACTTCCAGCTGTAAAATAGATAAATCCCAGGCATGTAATGTACAGCATGGTGACTATAGTTAATAATACTATATTGCATGTTTTAAAGTTGCTAAGAGAGTAAATTTTAAAAGTCCTCCTCCCAAGGAAAGAAAAAGAACAAATTTCTGCAAGGATGTATGGTAACAGATGTTAACTAGACTTACTGTGGTGATCATTTCACAATATATACAATTATCGAATCATTATGTTGTACACCTGAAACTAATACAAAGTTATATGTCAACTATACCTCAGTTGAAAAAAAAGAAATGAGCCCATCCAGAACCACTAAGAGGAATCTGCATTTTAATAAGATCCCCAGGTGATCTATATGAATACTAAAGTTTAAAGAGCACTGTATCATAGGCGTGAAACATAATAAACTACATTTTAATTTCCTGAATTTTTCTTCTTCTTACTTTTTTTCAACTATATTGAAAATCAAATTTTATTACTATGGCTAAAGATTCATCCTCCAGGTAAAATCTGCATGTGTATGTGTGTATGTATGTATGTGTTTCTCTCAGCTAAGGTACTCAGAAGCTTATAAAGATGACATTTATAATTTCCTTTTCAAACCTAGCTTACAAAGGCAAGCATTTTTTAGCTGCCCCAGTTTTCCGAATTATTTATTGCATCTTCTAATTCTAGGCAAATTTTATATTTGGAAGGGATACTATTTACCACAGACTTCTAAAATCTTTCCTTCCTATCTTTTTTCCATTTTCTGAGAAAAATATTTTTTCTTCCCTACTCATTCTCTTAAAGTCATTAGAAGAAATTCTAACTTTGTAGTTGTTTAAGGAGGTGTTATCATTGTTGACATGGGGGAATGGTGATCTGGTTTCCAGTTTGAAAATGTGCTGGAAGTGTGCTAAATATCTAAGAAGCCACCCATCCATGCCACAGAAGGGGCTCAGGTGGCATAGACCCCAGTTCCCCATGCAGGGTTATCCTTTGAGAAAATTTCTCTTCATAAATGAACGACCAGTTTCTAGTCCACCAATTACATCATGGACTTAACAGTATCAGGCAAACATGCACATAAATTTACCCTTGACCTAGGAGGGAAAAGGGTCAGAGTACTTTTGAGGTAAAACTTGAAGATAAATTTAAAATAATGTTTAAAGTGCTCTTATCATTTGTATTACTGTAAAAAAAAAGGATGGAATGTTCTATAAACATTTGGATTAAGCAAAAGCAAGAGGCAGAGGGAATCGAAGTGTGGATCTTCATAGGGTGTTCTTTGAAAGTTCAATCTCACCTGATTGTCGAATCCGTTGAAGAGTTTGCTGGACCAGAACCTCCGATCTTGGGACAATGATGATGAAGTCCACTTTGCTGAAGTGGCCGAGGTCCAGGCTCTGGCTGCCGCTGTCTGCTATAGCACACACCTGGGATAAGAGTTTTCTGGCAACCGTTAGCTGTGGTTGATAAATTTGGAAGGTTTCAATATCTAAATCTAAAATAAAAAAGTCATAAGAACAAGATTAATTCACTTCTGTTGATGGCCACTATGAATCCATACAGGGGACACACAACACACATACATGGTAAAGTAATGCTCTCTACCAAGCATTCTCACTGTCTAGTCTCACTCTCTGTTGAGTTTTAATAGGTTTGCTTATTTTCCCTGAAAACCTGGCTGAAAGGATGTGTCCAAGAGTGAATGTGGTAACTGTACAAATGTATTCTTTTAAAATCAACTGATTGTCTCACAAATCACTACTCAACACCCCTCCCCCACCCAGAAATGTAGGGACAGACTACACTCTCTCAGCGAGAGCCGGGACTCTTCTCTGGAGCGGAGAAGCAAGAGTTTCCAGTTTTCTTGCGCACTATCAGCAGGTCAGGTGCCCAAGCCCAGACCTCGTTCAGGGAAGGAGGTGATGCTGTAACCATAATAATGCTGAGTTCCTTTGAACTTTTCTGGATGGCACCACAGTACACATTTCCTCTCCAAGTCAGTTGCAACATGATTTGAAATTCTCCTCCCTGGGGAATGCATGACACAGGTCAAGAGATACTACCTTCACCTCTCTTCCCACTTGACTTGCCAGTGTTTGTGACCTGGCAATTGTAGGTGGTTGTGGTGAACTTCAATGCTGACGCCTGTACTATCTGAAGAGACCTGACTCATGACATGGCCAGCTGGCCACTCAAGAGGTGACGTATTAGAAAAACATTGCCCAAACACTCTAAACATGCCAGTAGCTTTTTATTACAAGTTACAACCAAGCAATCTCATACGTGCATGCATGCACAAACAAAGAACTCAAGCAGGCAACATTTAATACTTCTTTACGAGGCTGCTTTTTATTGGGAACACATGTGGAAGTCTCACTGAAACACACAAGGGCCCAATTAACCTGCACTAATTAATGTTTTCTCAAACCAAACTACAGTGCGGCCAAGGCAAAGACAGTAGTCACAGTACCCTAGCCACATGGAACCCTGAGAGTGAGTGGAGATTTATACAGGTGGCTGAGAGAACCCACTAGAAAAGCCCAAAGCTGCAAACTTACAATAACAGAATGGTTTTTGACCCACAAAGATTACCAATCAAAATAAATCTGTCTTTTGACAAGCTATTATTTCTTTTTTTTTTTTTTTAATTTTTTTTTCAACGTTTTTTATTTATTTTTGGGACAGAGAGAGACAGAACATGAACGGGGGAGGGGCAGAGAGAGAGGGAGACACAGAATAGGAAACAGGCTCCAGGTTCTGAGCCATCAGCCCAGAGCCTGACACGGGGCTCGAACTCACGGACCGCAAGATCGTGACCTGGCTGAAGTCGGACGCTTAACCGACTACGCCACCCAGGCGCCCCAGACAAGCTATTATTTCTTTAATGTCATAGGTTAAATAGATGGGGACTAGCACAGATGATAGCATAACTTTGTAGAATTCAACCTAGTAAATTTTGAAGTTTGAGGAAATCTAAAAATATCTTTAAGCAATGTTTCTTAAGCAGGGAATTGAGGATATGAACATGGAAATCTGTTAAGTACTTTAAGAGCTTTTAAATTCTAACTTTGTTAATAATTCAAAAACTATGAACATATTTTAGATCATCTGGGTGATCATTTTCTTACCAAATAACACGCAGAAGTAAGTAACTTTTATTGTGTGTGTTTGAATTTGTTTGTGTGACTGAGCCGATGCCAAGCCATGCTGCTTTTATTGCTGAGGCAATCCTAATATATAAATTATACATTCCTATCAAGTGAAGGCCAGAAGGCTGTCAGCAGCAGCTCTATGGTTCTGTTTCACGTCTACCCTTTGTCCTATCTTTTTTATCTCGGTTCTCTCCTATGTTGTCCTTGTCAAATAGGGAATTGGGAAAGGAATCTGAACATAAAGGAATCCAATTGAATGATGGAGCTCCTCAGTCCTGGTCCCACCATCCTCTCTTATGTCCTGGAGGCTTGCAGGGAAGATGGTGTGTTGGTATTGCTGAGCTATCTGCCAGGAACGCCTTGCAATCACTGAAATTATGTGTGTTTTACGTGTCAGAGAGTAAATGAAGGGGGTGGAGAGCCAGGAGTCCTGCACGGACTGCATTCCACACTCAAGCAGTTCTTTGTAAGCCTCAGATAACACTGAAAGCTCTCTGGGCATAGCTGGTGGAGCTAAGGAAAGTACCCCATGGACCCCAGAATTTTTCGAGGGAAAAAAAGAGAGAGTCTGCATATAATAAAGTCTTTGATTTTAATTCTAGAAGACATTTACTAAGGACAAGGTGCTTGATCCAGGCCCCATAGTAAGACATTTTTAATTTGGACCCTATTTATCATGTAGACAATGAGGAAAAGCCTGTTATAGTCTGTGACTCTAAGACAAGACCTCAAAAATCCTCAGAATGACTTAGCTTCTATTTCCTCCTTTTGGTCTGAGGTGACGTTACCCAGGTTTTGCGTGGGAATCATAGCGGCAGCCTCCTGAGCTGACACACATTCGTGAAGGTCTCCGTTGAAGGGCGTAACCACACTCTCTCCTCTTCTTTGTTGCATTTTGTCTAGAAGCTTGTCCAGGTCATCGCCTATTACACAATAAAGCGGAGATAAGAAGATTACAAGGAATGATACATTTCTATCAGTCTCCAAATTGGGCACCTAAGCTGGGTTCTCATCAAGATTTGTCAGTCAGCCAGCTTTTCCTGTCTGGGTTTACTCAGCCAGCTTTTTATGTCTGAGTTTACACTTGGCCATGCCTGTAGAGTATCTCTATAGCCAGAGCTACTCTCATTTGTATTGTGCTTACAATTTGTATGCTTTCACATGGCATATCTCTCTTGACCTCCATAATACTCAAAGCGGGCAGGATGGGATCATTCTATCTCCATTTGACATATTAGAAAACAGATCTGGGGAGGCAGAATCTCTCCCAAGGTCACATCACTAAATAGTGGCTGAGCGGAGGCCCTCCATATTAGTGCCTGCATGCCTTCCTCTGGACCCCTTGTTGTGTCAGTAACAAAATACTGAGGATAAACCATTCCGAATGAGGGAAGGTCGGCTGGCAAGTTCAAGCTCCACGCTCATCTCCTTGACAGGCTAAGATTTAAATTCAGAAAATCACATAGTTAGGGGCTGTCAGTGTTGCTGAATCCTACAACCACTCACCTAGTGATGTGGTTTTGAAATGCGATGCCAGGAAACTGACCTTTCCTGTGATGAGCTCATAACTAATTTCTTTCAAAAACTCACTTGTGGTGAGCATACTCTCTGCCAGAGCTCTGGACTGATGCTGACCTGCAGAACAGAGGGAGAGGAGGTGATGCATCCGTGAACAAATACTCACTAAAATATGATTTATAATAGCAAAAATTGGAAACAACTGAAGTAAGTAACTACAGAGACTTGGTTAAGGAAATTAGGGCACATAGAAAGATGGACAATTACTCAGCATTTAAAATGACAATTTTAAACAGAAAATGTTTATAATAAAATGTTAGATGATCAAGGGCAAAAATGATATACCTTATGTTTGTAACCTAAGTGAAAACATACTGTACATGTGTTTAAAGACTAGGGGAGAATGTGAAAAACCTTTAAGAACTGTGTTTGCATGGCTATTATGAATATCTGTATGAAAAATGTAAGTTTAAGACGTTTAATTGTTTTCTCAAATGAAAATTAAAAAAAATAATGTATTATACTTTCTGAAAGAGATTTATGTCATATGTCATAGAGAGATGGGCAGGCAGGTTTTGCCAAAGTGAGGGCGCTTGGCTTCTTTAGTAGGAACAGGTGAGAGCCTTTCACTAGAGAGAAAAAAAGCAAATTTAATTCAGATGGCTGGCTACTCATGATGGTGCCTGACAGAAAATTGCACAAAGAACAAAAACACATTTTGTAATGTACCAACCTCCTGAACCTTTTCTTTAGAGTCAATGTTACAACATAAGTATCCTCTTTAGTGAGGAGGTGAATATATGAGCTAAGTTCCTGCCAAATTTGATTAACTGGCTTAGGCCACCTGTGGCAATGGCTTTATCACATGCTAGAGTGGTAACATTTCCAAAACCTTTTAAGAACAGAAGTTACTTGAGACAAGGGTATCTATTACTAGGGTATGCTTTGAAATAATGTTCTCACAACCAGCTGACAGGGACACCAGTCAAACTAAGGGCTACAAAAATCTGATCTGAGGAGAAAAACAAAAGTTAAAATTAGGAGGAAGAACTCAAGTTGGAGCAATTAGAGATTAATTACATGGATGCTTGAACACCCAATAAATGGACAGATGATTGAATGAATAGATTAAAAAAAAAACCCTAAAAAAACATGACTCACCTAGTACTACCACACAAAATTCATTTCCTCTGATTTTCGATGCACAAATTGCCACGACATAATCTGGTAGTCTTTGATAGTGTCTCATTTCACTGAGAGTCCTCAACGTCTCTGAAATGCCCTCTGCCAAAGAGTTCTGGGTCACAATCACATGAACCAAGTCTTGAGATACGCTGGCAATTAGTCTAGCCAGCCAGGGGAGCTGTCCTGGAGACACAGGTGCACACTGAGCACCCATCTGCAGGGCTCTCTCTCTCAGAGTAAATTCTTGCATAGCTTTCAGCATGATTTGCTCAAATTCTTCCCTGAGAGGTATCTGATCAGGACCTAAATTGAAGAGAATTACAGCTAGAATTTTTTTTTTTTAATTTTTTTTTTCAACGTTTATTTTTATTTTTGGGACAGAGAGAGACAGAGCATGAACGGGGGAGGAGCAGAGAGAGAGGGAGACACAGAATCGGAAACAGGCTCCAGGCTCCGAGCCATCAGCCCAGAGCCTGATGCGGGGCTCGAACTCACGGACCGCGAGATCGTGACCTGGCTGAAGTCGGACGCTTAACCGACTGCGCCACCCAGGCGCCCCAATTACAGCTAGAATTTTAAAAATATCACGGCTAGAAAGGAGAGAAACACACACATATGTCCATGTGTGGTCCTTCCGGAGTATGGTCCTTCCACCATACTCCAACTGGGCAAATGGGCTCTTTTTCCTGTTGGGGCCGCAAGTATGGACCCCAACTAACCATTTTCCATTGTGAAATTACCTTCTCTCTGTCTCAATATTAAAAAAAGATGCAGACTTCTGTTTTCCTTTATGCTATTCATGATATTTTTAAAAGAGGATATACTGAGAGAGAGTATCAATTCCTTAGGGGGTTGTCCCTGAAGGTGGTATATTCGTTGACCTGTTAAACGTGGTGTTACAGACATGGTTAATGACTCAGGAGGGAAGAAGCTAAACTTTAGGTTTCACCCATTTCTCAATTTATTTATAGCTACTTTGAAAAACAGTTTAATGTATTGCATCTGTATCTATTCTAAGGAATACTGTCCTTAGGAAAATTAAGTTTAAGTGTTTTTTATTTTAGCTTATATTTAAGCAGCCACACACTTCCCCTAGATAGAGAATGTCACTGTCATATAGCTGTTCCCCCTGCATTCTGGATTGTTAAGAATGGTGTTTGGCCCTTTCCTCCAGCTGTGGTTATGATAGGCTAAATTTGTGTGGGTGACTGGCAGTCCCTGGAATGAGGGGTGTTTTGTTTCTCTGCTTCTCTTTAAAACTCAGCCAGTCTGTAGGACAAAGCAAGCAAGTCAATGTTTGGCATCCAAGTGACTCAGATGAATTCCTATGCTCACTACCTCTCTTCAGTGATTTCTTTTGCTGTGCAGACCTGAGATGTGAAAGTCAGGCTCCAGTAGACAGATACAGATCCCTCAGTGTCTGTGACCCGAGATCAAGCAATAGCCTCAGAATCCAGTATTAAAATCCCCTTGGGAAAGAATACAGGTTTAAGGGACTGCACTTCTATATGAGAAGAGGCACCTTGAATGAGTCAGAAATCTCTCCTTCCACTAATAGGGATTTAAGTTGCCTCCTAGGCCACCACCCATGTTCTCTGGGAAAGTAAGAAAATGAAGGTTTAGTAATATTTTAAGGATATGGAAAATTAAATCCTCACAGAGTTTTTTTAATGCTGTCCATGGAAAGAGGGCAAGAACACTGCAATGCATACATTATGTTAATGTTTCTTATGCCCTCCCCAATTGCTTACTATAGGGAGGTGGATGCCATCTTATCACCTGGGAACCACCAAAGCTTCTATCTTCATTTTGCTTTATCAAATTAGCATCATGATTAGTGGTCATTAGGTACATAGTAGGTGGTGAGCTCAAAGTGTATAGATTTGTATCAACTATACAAATGCACAGTACAAATGAGATGAAGGGAAGGTGGCTGTCTATTTAGAGCTTTCTTCCATCAGAATAAATGACAGCCCAAAAGCAAGTGGTTCTGTCTGCCATTCCCTACTGCCTCTCACAGACAGACCACCTGAAGGCTCAGAGGCCTGGTTCATAGGTGTGTCCATAAGATCCACTCCAAACCGTGATTGAGTAACATGTTCTATGAAGCAGTATAATTAATTTCAAATATAAAGGCATTCTGGGAAAATAAAATTATCAAACATGTTCATAGCATTCTCTACTGCCTTAAAATTCACTTTTACAGAGTTTCGAAGGAACTACTGTTAGGAATTGAGAAGTGAAAAATGTACCAAAGTTTAAATGAGGTAAAAGAGCAAAATGCCTTGCTTCCAATCACCTCCCATCATTTCCTCATCCTCAGCCTTTATGGCCAAATTGCAGGAGCCCTTTCTCCACTTCCCACAAGTTTGATAATAGTAATTTTTTCCCATCAACTGCTGGTCTCCAGCAACTCAGCCTAAGCATCAGTTCTGATGGCTTTTTTTTTTTTTTTTTTTTTTTTTTTTTTGATGGCTTTTCAGATAGAGCTACCTTAAGAAAAGACAAGGTTCCAACAGACTCAGAGCCTTCCAATAATCACTGGATTTGCTGATTTCATTATCTACTTCAAAAGGTTTTCAGACTGTGAAATAACAGATGGATTTTTTTTTTGAAGCGACTCTAGTGGAAAGACCTGTTCATTTTGAAGAATCTTGCTTTTCTCTTCTCTGTTACACCCACGTAGCTGAGCCATCAAAGTATTAGACCTGTTCTTCTAAAAGTTTGGATTAAAAAAAAAAAGTCTATCTATAATCTACAGTATATATGAAAATGTTCTTGCTGCCTTCTTCAAAACCTTGAAGGCAAAACAAACAAACAAAAACTCAAGGGAGTTTTTGAGAAGAAGAAGGGAGTTGTTGAGAATAGGTATCTTAACATGCAAAATTTAGATAAAAAAAAAAAAAGAAATAGCCAGTCATGTTGCACATTGAGAGATATATTAATTGGCTGCCAGTAAAACTCCAGAAAGAACTGATCTTGCAAGGCAGACAAGAGTTCTGATTGAATGGAGATTTTTCTTTTCCTTTTTTTTTAAGATAAGAGCTTTTATAGTAATTTGAGGGAAGCCATTTTGTCTTGACCATTTAGTTCATTTAATTAACTTGGACTTTGATAAATTGTTATTAAGATTGAAAAAAATGCTGTGCTGACTGGCTTGGCCTGCCAATAGAATTACTCTATGCAGGCTTGTTTTACTAATTCTGGATGCATTTGGAGGTCGCTCTTAGATCTTAGAACATAGCTAAAAGTCAGTGTATGTAGCAATTAAAATTATGACATCAAATGAGCTGCAGACAGAGGTGGTTTTTATAATTTTATTACCCACTAATCAACATGATTAGCAAGTCCTATGTTTACCATCAAAGTGATATCTGAAGCCTTCCACGTTTCAAAAGCCCATGTCAAAGCAGGCCTTCACTGTCAGGGTACCAACACTTACAGCCACAGGTGCTAGCTGATGCTCCAAAGACTGAATCCGGTTGGCTGAAGCTTTTGTTTTGTTTTTAGCATTGGTTAGCCCAGTATTTTTATTATTTAACACTTATATATTTTCAAACATTAAAATAATTCCTAAGAATGCAGATGGAAAATTTCTTCTATGTAATATTACATCTTGAACATTTTCCTAAGTAAATCAGTTGCTTGAAGTCCTGAGTGTATAATTAGGCTGCATATTAGATGACCTGCTGCAGTTTGCAAAATAAAGGACATTGCAATGTAAATGCTGCTGAGCCAGGACAGTATTGTCAGGACACCTGCACACACCCACTGTGGGCCTCTGGAGGATATACCAAAGAGAGGAAGTGAAGGGTTCATGACCTATGTATCTCCTTTACCCTACAACCTACAGAGCCTTCCAGGGAGGTCCACAGTTACTGCCTCAATGAAGGAAAACATGATGGGACTACATCAAAGGGGTGTAGCTGCAGAAGAAAAAAAAAATGGATGTAGGGGCAGTGGATAAACAAGATAAAAAGGCTAAGTGGAAAACTGTAAAATAATTGTCTAAGACAATGGCTACATTTTCAGTCCAGATGATAGGTGCATTTTTGGAAAGGTGGCTTGGACAGACTCCCCAAGGGAGGAGGGTAACCATGGCCATAGCCCTTTGAGGTTCTGCCTATACTAACTACTCTGGAGACCTTAGGACCATCATGAAACTGGACACTAGGTGGAGCAATTTATCTCTTCTAGGACACAAGCAAAGCCAGAGGGTAGGGAGGTTAGGCAAGAGAGAAGTGGGGAAAAAAACAGGCAAGTGGCAGAAAGGAGAAGAAAAGAAACAGGAGAAGAAAGGGAACAGTCATAGAGAGTGGGGCTGAAGGAAAAGAATGTTACAAATGAAAGGGAAAGTAAGAGATGGACAAATAGACGAATATGAGAAAGTGGGGAAAGAAAGGGAAAAAAACCATGTTGTGAAAAGAATAAAAATCGTCACCATCAAATAATTATTAAAAATTGCTTACCCAGTCGCACAAGATACTGTATCGTCAGAAGAATCATGTTTTCCACACTCAGGAGCTGGCTGCCAGTCAACCCTAAATGTTCCAAATCTTTGTTTTCCAACTGTGGAATCTTGTAGCAATTCACCAGCAGAGGACTCACAACAATGTCACCAACATTTCCATAGAAATAGGGTAAAGTGCCATAGCCTGCCCCAATAGAAGCAGGTCAATAAAGTTCAACATTTCTTTTTGAGGTCCAACCAGGTATACTTGCTCAACTAGGATTAAAGATGCTTAACAAAGTTTCCTGCCCTCTTAGGTGACTACCAAACAAATCACTCAAATATCCTAGGGAATTCACTCAGATGCTTCTCACTTATATTAAATCAGATGAACAGGAAGCAAAAGACTCAGATTATATTATCTCTGTTTCCCACAGAAAGGACATGTTAATATTATATCTGCCACAGAGAATTGATGAGAATTTGCAAAACATCTCTGTATCCTTTTGTAAAACTGCAATGATAAAATATTTCCCAATAAAATTCTTGATCAAGTTTCTTTCCACATAAGACGACAGAACACAAACTACAATAACATGTTTCATTTCCTGAGGTTTTCTTAAACATTTTAAAAAGCTAAACTCATTGATCACCAGCAATATTCTTCTAGTCACTGGTACTTGCAGGTTCCTACTCTTTGTGCTATCTTAGTTATTTTTATGTTCCCTTCTTAAATGTCCATAAACAGCCTCAAATTATCTTAGAAGTAGATAGGACAAAAATATGTTGAAATGTACCCTATTTTGGTGGTGTGGTAAAGAGCGTAGTCCCTCTGTGAGACCTTCTAAAAGGCAGACACCAAATGGTCCCATGTTCCAAATATCTTTCCAAGACTTAGCTGCATTATGCATGCCACTCAGGTGTTCAATAAGAACTTCCTGACCATATGGAATTTAAACAACTGGGGTTCTCCCAGTGCCTATAGGCCCAAGAGCAGTGGATAGGGCAGCCTGATAAAGGACAGGGCTTGAAGCAAAACCATCCATGTCAGTAGGCTCCAGTCAACCAAAAGAAGCAGATAACACCTCACATAGACATACCCTAAAGATCCAGTGGAGCTTATACACCCTATCTGTTCAGTTCCAAAGGTAAAGCAGGTAGTCTCCTTCTGATCTAGGATAGCACCCAAATGAGGTGACTCTTGATGTGAGTCTGAAAAGCACTAAGTTAGTCCTGGAATCTAGAGACCTCTAAATGTCTGCACCTCTACTTATAGACATCTTGGAAACACTCCGACTCTATAAACATACTAATTCACAGATGCTTCTCCATGGTTCAGATATGCAACTCTGGGACTTCTTTGTTCTCCTGAATGGGGCCTGTTAGCTGGTTCAGCTTGTTTTTTCATTTCTCTGTGGTTTGGCTCCCTTTTCCCCACCTTGTCCACTCTTGCCAACCCTTCAGGAACTAACTGAAACATCACCTCTGAGAAGTCTTTTCAGACTCCCTCCAGGCAAAGTTAAGCTCTCTCTCCTCTGAGTTCTTGTAGTTCTTGGTTGTGAACCTGTACTAGCTCAAGTATCACAATGTTGTACTTATTTCAATGATAGACTCCCTACCTAACAGTATTCCCTGCAGGCAAATAGACTGCCTTATTTCCAACTTCTAGTCACATGTTTAATATAGCATGAGAGAGCTGGCCAATAAAAGCTGAAAGAATTAATAAATGGATAAATGAATACATGCATGAACAAATATGGATAAATATATGAAGAATGAAATGAAGAAACAGTACTAGATGCCAGCAGACACAGGCAATTTGGAATTCTTTCCCCTTACCTATCAGAATTACTGGTCTAACTCCTGAGTTAGTCAGCAGGTTTTCAGGAACAATTACAGTTTCCCCTGCAGGAATGGGTCGAGGTTGTAAAATTCCAGTTAATGGGGTCTGTGGAACTGGGGCAGATAAAAGGGACTCTGGAAAAAAAGTTGTTTGACAAGAAGGATTAGACATGAAAGCTAAGTGAAATACAACTGAAATCAACAGTCTTAATACTTTTAATATAGAAGTTTTAGAAGTCTAATCGTCCATTTTTCTTTAATTAAAGTAATTCATGGTTTATTATATAAAATTAGAAGTGACAGGGGCGCCTGGGTGGCGCAGTCGGTTAAGCGTCCGACTTCAGCCAGGTCACGATCTCGCGGTCCGTGAGTTCGAGCCCCGCGTCAGGCTCTGGGCTGATGGCTCAGAGCCTGGAGCCTGTTTCCGATTCTGTGTCTCCCTCTCTCTCTGCCCCTCCCCCGTTCATGCTCTGTCTCTCTCTGTCCCAAAAATAAATAAACGTTGAAAAAAAAAATTTAAAAAAAAAAAAAAAAAAAAAAAGAAGTGACAAAAACAAAAGGAAAAAAATCAACCATAAATCATATCATCTGGAGATAACTACTATTTAGCATTTTCATAGTTTTTCCTAGTTGTTTTTCCACATGCAATCTTTTGGATTCTGTTTCATAGTTAACTCCCCACCTCCACTCCAATTATCGTGGCTTATCTGTTCATTATAGAGAATTGGAAAATTCCAAAAACAGTGAAGAAGGTCAAACTCATCACTAATCAGTACTATCTAGAGTCAAACACAGTAACATATGGGCATAATTCTTTGTATATATAGAATCTCTATGTAGTCTTTAAAACTAAACAAATTTTTGAAGAATCCCATCCATGTCTTAGAATTGGCATGTTTACATTTGTCTGTGCTTAATACAGCAAGGTAGACTAGTGTTTGGACATTTAACAGTAGGTACCCAATGGCTATGGCTTGGTTATTATAAAGGAGAACAAGTTGGGTTTTTTTGGGGGGTGGGGGTGGTTTCTAGACCAGAAATAATAGGTGCAGGTCACATAAGGAACCAGAGCTCAGGAGAACATATCTAATAGCACAACCGGCAAAACAAGTCCATTTGTGACCTGTGCTGGTGGGCTACTAGCATCATGCCAAATGCAAAGAATGGCTTATTGATACTGTGGGCCAAAACAAAGCCAGATGCTAACTTAAGATCCATTGTGATGACACATGTACTTTTAGGGAAGACACATGTGATGGGGACAAAATATCAGCTACTATTAATTTCCTTACATAATACAGGACATAATGATTAAGGAAATTTATCTCCAATGGTTCAGGGAAAGAATAGAAGACACCTCTGCTAATTAAAAAAACAAACAAACAAAAAAACTTAAAATCCATCTTACCACTTCTTGAAAGAGGGCGAATTGTAGGAACAGGTACAACTAAACCAGGTTGGGGGACAGGTGACCCAGGATACCATCCCCGGTGTCGTTTCTTTGGTGGCCCAGAAATAAACATGGTAGCTGAAGGCAAAAAGAAAGATGAGCCTTGTCCTTACTAGTGGAAGAAATAAGAGAATTCAGAGTAACATGGGGCCTTTAATTTGATTATACTCAGAAAGTCTAAGCCACTCTTCTATAGGTAAAGATAAAATTAGAAAAAGTCACCCTAACAATACCACCTCACATTTGTATGCTGTTTTACAATTTACAGTTTTACCCAGATTATTTCATTTAATTCTGCCAACAACCCTGTGAAGTTGTAGGATAAGTATATTTTTATACCAATTTTGTAGGTGGTTAAAGGAAGGCTCAGATTTGCCCAGAGTCACGCTATAGAGAAGAACCTTGAACTCTGTATCTTGGTCAGCAAGGCTCATGGTTTTTCAAGACATTTCCTTTTACATCTGTTTCAACACTATTTTCTAGTGAGGCTCATCCTTGTAAATCACCAAGATATTTAATCATCATTGTTCACACCAATCATAAACCTTCAAAACTTTGGATGAGAAGCTAAGGAAAAACTGGGAGTGTACTGTCAGATAATTCATCACTCCAAACTCCATAGCACTTCTTCCATAATTTAGGTACATTCTTTCAAAACTCTAAGATGGATATTGTACCTTGGTCTCCTGATGCATAGCTAGGTCTTGGTGATAATGAGTAATTTCCTGGGCGGGCTGGAGTAGAGCTAGAGGCACTGCTCTTCCCTCCATGGCTACTGTTTCCATTAGCAGCATCTGTACCACATGAGAGGAAGACTCAGAACAGAGGCTGAGCAGAACACTGCATTCTGTGACACTGAATTTTTCCACATGCAATCTTGATAAACCGCACACTGCAGGATTCAAAGACATCTCACGGACTGGACAGTACAGTTGTGTAAAACTGACTACAACCATAAGACTGGTACCTTCTTCAAAACGAAATGTCACCTAAAAATAATTTTCTGGGATCCTAAGAGATCTTTTACAATCATTTTCAGTGAAGCCTTTGGAGATGGTGGGTGGAAGAAAGAGAAAGTTGTTTGGTTTTGTTTTGTTTTTATTTTATATCTTGGGCATTTTCAAACATGTATACAAAGTGGAGAAAATAGTATAATAAATTACATACCTATCACCCAGCTTCAACAGTTATCAACACATAGCCAATCTTGCTTTATCTATACTCCCTCTCCCTTCCCCCTCACCCAACATACACATATACTTGCTCTAGATTATTTTGAAGCAAACTTATTTATATCATTTCATCCATAAATGTTTCTAAATGAGTTTCTAAAAGAAAAGAACTCTTAAGAACATAACTGTAATAAGGGCACCTGGGTAGTTCAGTTGGTTAAGCGTCCAACTTGGGCTCAGGTCATAATCTCACAGTTCTCAAGTTCAAGCCCATGTTGGGCTCTGTGCTGACAACTCAGAGCCTGGAGCCTGCTTCAGATTCTGTGTCTCCCTCTCTCTCTGCCTCTCCCCCACTCGTACTCTGTCTCTCCCTCTCTCACAAATAAATAAACATTAAAAAAATTTAAGAACATAACTGTAATGTCATTATTATACTTAAAATTATCCATGATTAATAATTTCTTATATATCAAATATCCCATTAATATTCAAATTTCCCCCCAGTTATCTCAGAAATAGTTTTTTTTTTTTTTACAGTGGACTTCCTCAAAAAGGAAGGTTCAAAAAGTATCTACACATTGTTTAGTTTTTATGTCCCTTAAACCTCTTTTTTTAAGTTCACAATTATTTATTCATATAATAAAAATATAGTGTTCACATTTCATGGATTGTCTCACAAATTTTAAGAATAATTTGAAAAAAAAAAAGAATAATTTGTTTGAATCAGGGTAAGGTCATACACTGCAAGTAGACTTAAGATTATGTAATTTTTGCTGAGTTTCCCATACTCTTTAGGGTGTCAGTTATATCCTTCCCCCCCCCCCACCTCTCCTTAAACCTCCTTTAATCTATAGGATTCCCCCTTCTTCTTTTTCTTTCTTCCAGTTAATTTGCTGAAAATCTGGCAGAATTTCTCATTTTCTGAATTTTGCTGATTGACTATCTATGGCATCATTTAATGTCCCCTCTTTCCTATATACTAATTGTTAGATACAGAGGTTGGCTCAGATTCAGGATTGAATTTTGGGGCAAGCATATCTCATAAATAGTGTTATATTCTTCCATCAGCAGGCACATAATAACTGGTTTCTCTCTTCTTGTCATGTTAAGAAAGAGCAGGGGGTTCAAGAGCTGTTATCTTAATCCTCAAATTATAAAGCTGTCCATCAAGGGGTGCCTGGGTGGCTCAGTTGGTTAAACATCTGACTTTGGCTTAGCTCACAGCTCGTGGGTTCAAGTCCCGCATCGGGCTCTGTGCTGACAGCTCAGAGCCTGGAGCCTGCTTCAGGTCCTGAGTCTCCCTCTCTCTCTGCCCCTCCCCTGCTCGTGCTCTGTCTCTCTCTGTCTCTCAAAAATGAATAAACATTAAAAAAAATTTTTAAGTTGTCCATCAGTCCATCTGATGGTTTTAGCAACTATGCTGGTTACTGCCAAGATCTATAATTTCACTAATTTTTAAAATATTGTAATAACTTGGATTCAGTTTGTTCAAGTCTATAATCTAACCAGAAGGTAGATTCTACAAGAACTGTTGGAACAGAATAAGAAACTTGTAAAGTTTCCAAGAATGATAAGCTCTCTTCTCATTCTTCCTCTGCCTCTCTGACCATTTATTTTCCTTAAACACTGGAATTTTCGAAAATATTATCCTTGTTAACAGCTTGCCTTCTCCTACCTTTCCCCTTAGCAGATACTATTTACCCTGGTGATTTTTTTTTAGCTAGGCTCCAATATGGGGCTTGAACTCAGAACCTTAAGATCAAGACCCAAGTTGAGAACAAGAGTCAGACGCTTAACTGAATGAGCCACACAGGCAACCCCCCACCGGTGATTTTAACCTCATGTACAATAAATTAGATGACTGTTGAGCAGCTCCACTTGCATTATTCCACTTGGGCATTTCAAACTTAACATGTCCAAAGTTGAACTCACAATCTCCTCCTGGAGAACCTGATCCTTCTTCTGTATTTTCTGTCTTAAGTAATTGCATCACCATTAGCAGAAAGATGGATGCAGACCCGAGACCCCTTCTTACACTTCATGCTTACATTAATCAGACAAATTCTGCTGATTTTACTTCCTGAGTAGTTCTTCAATATGTCTCTTCCTCTACAACCTATTATTATCCAGGTCAAGGACCTCATTCACCTAGACTACTGAAATGACCTCCAACTAGTTTTCCTACTTTT